AAACGAGATACTCCATCTAGCTCGTTATACCGAGGGTGTGGACTGTTTGAGGAAATGGACACATCTGGCATCAGGAGTAGGAACAGATTTCAAAGTTTACATCTTACTAAAGACATGCTAGACATTAACTTGGCTGGCTGGCACCAACATGAAATGTGGGATTTGATTTTGTGGAAAATCCACCATAAATTCCAGATGACAGGGGTGGAAAACACCATTTGTTTTCATAGCTGCCCCAACCAATTACTTAAACTGATTAAAACAGATGTGTTAAGGTCTTTTCTTCAGCATCTTTTACTTGCTTCACATTAAGAAGCCATCCGTAATTACCGCCTAGATTTATTTATTTATTTATTTTTTACAGGTAGAAATTATACAGTTAAATTAATGTTGCGACTGTCAGAAGTGTCTCACTAACGTTTTCCTATACCCTCAAATAGCTACTTCATGCAGACCCCCAATTTCATGCGAGATAATCAGTCAACTCGTTACATCAGTCCTGATGCACATCACTGATATCAATTACAGGTTTTGATATCAAGTATTTTCACCTCCTTTCATCCAAGGTGACATGGAAGCACTCAAAGCGTTCTCATTTCTGTCTCTCTCATTGAGTCGATGCCAAAGTCCCAACATTAACTTGGATTTCTCCGACTCAGCAGGTGTAAGGGAACAAGTCCCAGCTATAATCAGCCACAGCCATCCAGTGTTTGACGCCGCCTGCTAGGAAACTGACTAAACAAACTGTATTAATAGCTTGCACTGCAGCCATGACTGTGGAATCTGGGGCTTAAATTGCCAGAGGGTAGGGAGACCCCACAAAGAGAAAAATAACTAAAGGGGGCTGGAGGGGAGAGGGATAAAAAAAGAAACCGTGAAAGAAAAAAATGCAAATCAAATATGTGCTTGGATAATTATGGGATCAGAGGTGAGCATTTGAGACAGGACATCCAGGTTTATGGCTGGGTGTGTGCAAGAACCAAAGTGTTTTGTTTATGTAAGCAAAGTGAGCACAAGATTTAGTAAATGGAACAAAAGAAATCCTATTCCTACTTCTGCATAACCAACAAGGCCTGAAAGCTAAATCAGTGTTGATGCAGGACAATACAGGATGGACTCAAGGGAGCTTCCTAAAATTAAATCAGAGACATTTTGTAGATTTGATTGTGGTCTGCAACTTTAACAAGCAAATATAGATTTATAACTATAAATTCAAAAAGAAGAACACCACATTGAAATGTAGCCAGTAGCTTTTACCCATGCTCTACAACACTTTCAAGCCAATCATTACTTAACTAATCTAATCAACAGAAATGCCTAAAAGCATGCAATATACACTTAAAAAAAAAGTTTCATTTTCAAGCTGCAAAGAACATTTGTGTTGGGGCCAACTTCCAAACATCTCGCATTACTCTTCAGTAATTGCATGTATTTGGTTGGACAAGACATAGTGCAGTTTTCTCAGTTCTAACACTTCTCTTAGTGAAGGAATGATGCACAACTCTGCCAAAAACATGACCTACATTTCTCAGGAAAGTGTTGACATGGATGGAGACATGGATCGTGGAGCGTTGAGCAGTTCAAATTGCAATACTGTGGATATCATTAGTACTTTTTTTTTAAGGTTTTCTTGCAAACCCAAATTCTCGCAATATATCCTACCGCCAAAAAATCTACACGAGCGCGCTTTTTTCCACATATTCGGCAATATAAACGAAGATTATTTTAAAGTTGAATTCCCAAAGTTCCACAAACTTTAGTTCCTTTGTGAAGACACCGCTAACTGTGTCGAAAAGGTTTGTCTTTTTTAGCCTCCATTACCTCTGGCTACGTACGGGTACATAAGCCCAGCCTTTTCCCGTAACAATGCCGCCTATTCTGTTCAGCAATTGGCCACGAGAGCGTCAGTTAGCGACTTCTAGGGCACTCATAGGTTCGAACCCTGTCAATAACGTCCGACAGCTGAATCTGATTGGCTAAAATCTCGAAATCAACTTTTTTTTCCTATCAACGCAAAACTAATGGCTAGCTAATGTGGCTAGCGTTAACAACAGGCCGAGCGCACACTTAAAAAGTGAGTGATAGCAGCACTTGCTACCACTTTCTGCCATGACAATAGACATATATTAAAATCAATTTAATAACATCCGACGTGAATTGCTGTATTTCAAAGTGCACTTCGGGTATTTAGAGTAACAACAGCCGAAAAGGCTAGCACTTAGTTGGTTGGCGGAGTGACACTTGAGTGCAAAGCGAGACACAGTGGGTCCGAATGAAACGTTGTAGCTCCCACAACAGTTTTGACAACTACATAGACGTGTCGTTTTAACGTCAGCAAACACTGAAAAGTGTCGTGTCGAGCGCGACATTGTAATCATTTACTATACTCGAATAATCTATGGTGAATTTAAAGGTTAATAAAGTGTTTACAAACTCACCCTCGCGCCCCTCTCTCTGACTCCCCTCTCCTCTCTCTTGGAATTTGACACTCCCCTCGACGCGGACTTATCGCGAGATTTCGTACAAGCTATCTCTGCCTGGCCACATGTAAAGAAATGCACCAGAAAGCTCCTACATTTATTTGTTTTGTTTTGTTTTAATTTAATCATAATGAAAGTTCTGTGTATATAAATTCAACCCAAATTTTCTGCAGTTTAATGATGAAACGAAACTTAATTTTTGAATATTTTTCTGACTCATCAGAAATTGTAACCCTTACTCTTACATTTTTTTTCTTGCTGCTATTTCTGTGTCTGTATTCCCCCCCCCCTCAGCCTTTGTATATATCTTTAAGCATAGGATGACTAGATGGGAAAACAGTCTTTATGTTTTCTGTGTCATTTATTAAAGCTTAAACAGAGAAACATTGACTTCAAGTCCACCTATACAGTGGGTGCAATTAAGATATTAATTGTAACTGACTCGTGAAAAGAGGTAAATTTGGCTTTGCAGGGTAAGAATTCCCCTCATAACTGTATGAATTTGATGGGTTTTCGAACAATAAACTTTTGCGAATATAACACATCCTTTTAAGTACTGTACATCGTATGTAGAAGCTTTTTGGAAGCTTGAACTGTCACTTACATTTTTAAGATATGTCTCATTTGTCTGATATCATCAACATGTCATTAATTTAAAAAGTTACTGACTGTGCATCTGTGTGATTCAAAAAACATGATAAAACATTAAAATGATGATACTTGTGGTGCATATGGTTATTAGTTTCATGATATCTTCATTTTTTCAAGTCACTGATTGAAGTTTTGTTACATGGTATGTCACAGCTGTCAACAGTGGGGTCGTTCCCCTCTTGATTTGGTTTCCTTCCTGATACTCTCAACTTATCCCTTTGTAAAGGTACAAGCCCCAAATAGCTGGTTAAAAAAAATCACAAATGAATATGCCTGAACTTGTGATCATGTAAATGTAGCTCTTCTTATACATTTGAAAAATGCATTCAAAAATGTATTCAGATAAACTGGCTGATGTAATCTACAGCCAGTGTTGCTTAACAATAAATGTTTCCTCCGATATAGAAGTGTCACATTTACTTCAAAGGCAGTCTTACAAGCTGGTGACTTAGAGACAGGGCTAGAGGGACCCCCAATGGATAATATGAGAATTGAAGGTGCTAATGGTAGCTTTCAAATTCTTTCCAAAACACTGAAGTAACGGTATAATTGGTCATTTCTTTGACTTAAATATGTTTGTCAAGAGCTTTCCCCAGAAAAAAAGCATTTAGCATTTTAAAATGTAAAATTAAATACAAACCTTGTTTAACTGTTGTAAATAGCACTTCTATCATAACTCCATCGATACTCTGGCCATTTTTTTGCACTACAATTAGAAATTACTTCACAAATACTAAGTATAAATATATTATCCGTTTCCTCTGAACTGCTCGCTGTAGCCGCTGTGATCCACTCCAACATGTGTACTAAAACTCTTATTTTTTATTATTCATGCCCTTGAGAGAATATGTTAGATGCAGCAGATCATGAATATTACTTCTGAATTTAGGTTATACACCCACTGGTCACTTTATTAGGTACACTTTTCAACTGTACATTAACACAAATATCAGCCAATTACATGGCAACAACTCAATGCATTTTGGCAATTAGACATGAAGACGACCTGATGAAGTCCAAAATGCACATGAGAATGGGAAAGGAGAATAGTTGGACTGCTTAGACCTAATAGGAAGGGAACAGTAACTCAAATAACCACTCCTTAAAACCAAGGTATGCAAAAGAGCATCTCTGAACATGGAACCACAAAGCATAAGGGCTACAGCAGCAGCAGACCACACCGTATGCTACTCCTGACAGCTGAGAACAGGAAAGTGAAGCTTGCCTAAAACAAAGCACAAAGGATTCGAAAAACGCTTTCTGGTCTGATGAGCATAGGGTCAGAATAAAAAAACAACATGAAAGCACGGATCTATCCTGCCGTGTAACTGTCTGCCGGTGGTGTAATGGTGAAGGGATATTTTCTTGGCACACTTTGGACCACGTAGTAACAACTAAGCATCATTTAAATGCCACAGTCTGAGTGTTATTGCTGAACATGTCCGTCCCTTCATAACCACAGTGTAGCTATCTTTGGTGGCTGCTTGCAGCTGAAAAATGCACCATGTTACAAAGCTCAAATCATCTCAAACTGGTTTCTTGTACAATGACAATGAGTTCACTAGAGCACGCTTGGGATGTGGTGGATCGGGTGCTTCACATGGTGGACCTGTGGCCCCCAAATCTGCACAACTATGTCATGTCGTCATGTCAATATGGCCCAAAATTTCTTAAAAATGTTTCCAGCTGTCGAACCTTGTTATGAAGAATTAAAGAAGCTCTGGAAGTAAAAAAGGGGTCCAACCCAGTACTAGCAAGATGCATCTAAAGAAAGTAACACATGAGTGTATATTTTGACAAAGCTACATATGTTATGTTATGTTCAGTTCATGGTAGCCTGTAGCCATGCACTGAGCTTTAATAATTGCACTTGGTATATGGTCTCTTTAATGAAAGATATTTGACATGCCAGAAGCAGGAACAAAGTTTAAAAAAAACATCATGGCTCGTGTTTTAAAACGCTGTCACTGTGAATGTTTGGTCATCAGTGACAGTGCTTACTGTAACAGTTTGTTATTAGATATAACCTGTGTTGTATATGCATATTGTAAAACAATCACAGCACAGTCAATAACAGGTATAGACATCAAGTATTCTCTATTAGATGTAATTAATTGTGACTTGATATATATGAGCTATCAATGTGTGATTTTTGTGAAGAGCAGAGAGAAAAGAGTGAGCTGGAATATAAAGGCATTTACTTGCAGTATGTTTACAAAGAAGAAAAAAAGCACCTTTGCTGGTGTACACAAGACATGATCTAGAGGTTAACTTTTACACATTTGTAGAAAGGCAAACATAATCAAGCACAGAAATTGTCAGATTGTAGACAAGTGCTTTAACAAATTGCAAGTTAGTGAATCCTTCAAAGACACAAACTTAGTCATCATGCCATATCATGGTCCTAATACGTAACAATTTAAAATAAAGTCACTTTCAAATATCCTGCAAAATGTTGGACCAGCGAGCACCCTTGAAACACAAACTTTTGCAAGTTAAGACTGAAAACTTCCACTGATAATAAAAACAAAACAAAAAACAACAACTTTATTCCTTATTGGCAACTGGAACTGCAACTTTTTATTTCATTTTATTAAAATATAGACCAAATAAATACTAAATCACAAGACTGCAGACTTGCTATCAGAGCAGAAGAACTTCCAAAGACTATGGAGGCAAAGTTAGTGTGCCTGGCACATCATGTGAAACCAGTAATAGTTACCAACCTTCTGCTGCATCGACATAAATAAAACTGCTGCCATCTGGCATAATTTCTAATCTGCTCAAGTGTTTTCTTCTATCCATTTTTGAGCCTCACTTTTTTTTTTGGTGGGGTGGGGCTATCCATCCCAGCAGTCACAGGACAAAAAGAACGGTGCAACCCCAACAGGCCGCCAGTCTGCCACAGAGCTAACACAGAGAAAAACGAACACTCACAGCCAATTCTCTAGTTAACCTAACATGCATGTTCTCAGAGCGTGGGAGTAACCTGGAGTAACCCAGAGAAAACCCACGCAGGCATGGGGAGAACATGAAAACTTCACACCAGCCATCCAGTGATCCAGGACGTTCTTGCTGTGTTAACCCCCACACTCTGCTTTCTTTAAATCTGATGTGTTTACTTCTATTGGTATATCAAAAATGACTGCAGCATGAGCTCTTCAGGGTGTCAGAGAGAAAGATGACCACTCCAACGCCAACATATAAACCACCTTCACACGACACACTCTATTACAAATACAGGACATGAGTGCTCATTCATCAACTGTTTGTTTCACTCTAAAAAGGTATAACGAGCATATACTCATTCTGTAATTTATGACTTTCCTCATTGTCTGTGGCAAACTCTTTTAAATTATATTTACATTTTAAAAAGTAACATTCATACTTCCTGTGAATTTAGCAGGCAAGATAATAACTTTAATTTCTGACTATTCATGAACCAAAACAGCTGGATGATTAGATGCACATACATACACCGTTACTATGATGGAGCTGAATAAACCTGATGTTATACTTTCTTTCTGCAAAGAAAGTGGGAAAGATTTCCTTAAAACAGGCTTTGAGATACTCAACGCATGAGGAGAATGCACTGGTGCCAACTTGATTCTACAAATGAAAATATATTCATCTGCAGTTCACTCACTGCTTATTTAGATTTTTTGTAAAGAAAAATACATTAAGTTCATCATTCCTCCTATCACATATATTGTAATAAATTGCAGAAAGGTTGGACAACTCTTTAATACCGTGGAGACACTTCCTTGCAGTGTGCAATGCAGTGTGATGAGCTCTTTAATAATGAGCCAGTGAGGTCTGAAGAAACAGCTTCATTTTCAGTCTCTCAACAGCAGATAGTCTTTGATAGTCTCTGGTAAAGGAAGCTCTTTGACAGCCGTGGGGAGGAATTGCACTCCGAGACTTTGCCGTACTGCACAGCGTGCCAGAGAGCGAAGCGTGGGCGCCTGAGCCACCATGTTGGTCAGCCTCGCCAGCAGCTGGGGATCTTTACTCAGCTCCCTGGGAAGGGTGCCGTCGGCCCGTCGAATCTCAAACCTCCCTGCTGCTCGACACAGTAGCTCCAAACACTCTTCCTCTTGTTCGGTGCCCAGGCCTCGGGCCAACAGGGCCACCAGCCGGGAGATAGGGGTCTGGCCCTTCAGGTTAGTTACATGGACCTGCGCTCCATAGTCTAATAGCACTTTGACACTTTCAAGGTTGCCTTTCATTGCTGCCCAGCTAAGAGGTGTGTCATTGTTATAGTCACGGGCATTGGGACAGGCCCCGCTCTCCAGCAGGGCCCTTACACACTCAGGATTATCTTTGAAGGCGGCCCAGTGAAGAGGAGTGTCTTTATTGCCATCCAGGGCATTTGGCTGGGCTCCATATTCCAACAGCAGCTCCACACAGCTCTCATCCTTCTCTGCTGCATAGTGCAGTGCTGTACGATTATAGCCATCCAAAGCATTTACCTGATGAGAAAATTCAGTATAATGAGCAGTCTTATGCCAACAAGACTTAATTAAATAGCACAAAGCTGCAGGGTGCCCTGAGAAGTGACTGTGTAGGCATCTCAACGCCTGCCAGATATTTTGGCTCATGTGTTGCAGCACAGATGTAAAAGGAGGGTGAAATGGAATAACCAGATGATTCAGAAATTGTTTGCACCATTAAATTATATCAAAAACAAAAGAACGACAGTCTACCAAATAGTCCAAATGAAAACTGCTCAGTGATCATCTAAAGAAACAGGGAATGAATGTGAATGCTGTGAGACCTGAAAGTAAAACTCAATTTACAGAGGATAGTTTCCATCAAATAATTGTAACGATTAACCCTTTAAATTCTCCCATATCCCCACCACATGTACACAGTACTACTAAAATAAACTGATACAATTTCCCTATCTTTCCAGACAGCCAGTGGTTTCAGATCATGACTCAACATGAATCCTTCAGTGTAAACAATGCTAGGTGTCTTCTTTACATTTAGAAAGCTTTTAACCTTTGTCCTGCTCACACTTACACTGACTGTGTTTGCATGCATACTTACCCGCCTTAAGGCCAAAACCTTTAAAGGTGCCGAATAAATCTAAAGTGAATATGAAAAACTTCCGTGTGCAGCTGTTACATACCTCTGCCCCCTTCTCCAGCAGCAGCTCCACACAGTCAGCATCAGCAACCATACAGGCACAGTGCAGGGGTTTGAGAGTGCCATGCATCCGATTCACATCAGCACCCTTAATCAGCCAGGAAATAACAATATCAACATTACACTCATGACACTACAGGGGATTGTTTACGTCACTTTGACTGGAAGATAAGCAAGCCTACCTTACGGATAAGATCCTCCACATTGTCGTGCGGGAATGAGCGAATGGCTGCAATTGTTCGGATGAGCCGCTCAGACAGGGAATATTTACTCTGAATGCTTTGCATGATGTACCACATAGTAGAGCTCATGTGTAACAGAAGAGCATTGCACCCAGGCAGGGGTGACGCTATGGCACACTGAAACACAGTTTTTAAAAATTGCTTGATTACAACTTCTAAGACACAGTGAATCTTAAATAAGTCAACAGAATATAAAACAGACATTTCACAGTTTATCGTGCCTAAGTATGCACGCAGACCTGTTTTATTCAGTATACCAGTGCTTTGGTTTGATGAGTTATATGCTTGCTATAAATACAAAATATTTTCAGTTTACATACAGAATGTGTTAGAAATTGTTTAACTAAAGACCGAAATTTCACACAGCTTTGTTAAAATACCAAAATTAATATTCAAAATTATCTTTCCCGACTATTATCTGTTTGGGTTGGACACGATGTCTTGTCGTATAATCTAGATGGTGCAAGGCTCAGCTGTAATCAGGGAGATGACACCCAACTTTATTTTTCTGTTGCTACCTAACTGAAGTAGATACGACCCACTTGTCAGCCATATATATATATATATATATATATATATATATATATATATATATATATATATATATATATATATGCAGCTATCGCCGCTGCTTTTAACAAATGACTGACACACACAGCTAACCTTAGCTCACTCTGCAAAAATAAACAAAGTCTGCAACAATGACACAAGGTTTACAATCAAGTAAAAGCTTTAACGTTGACGTAGAAACCACAAGGGTTACTTCGCGCTGACCGGAGGAGTTTATAGGCAAAAGAAAAACAATCATACCCGGCTACACTTCCCACTATCCTGCTAGCTAGGCTAGCTAGCTGTGAGGTAATGTTAGCTTCGAGATGCAGGAACAAACGACACTCACAGACGGAGAAAAACCGCTGACATAATTACCAACTACTTGTAAACTCGCCTTCCAACACAGCTCGCACGAATCAACAAGAATTAAACAATGCTGGTGAAAACCCATACCGTTTACAGTCCACGGCTTGAAGGTCTGGCAGGTTACTGTATAGACCGACCGCTGCTAGCTTTCACATAAACACGAAACGTCACCACTAGGGCCACGCCCTCTGTCTCGAACCTCGGTATTTAAACGCGGGCAGAGTGGACGCTGACTGTCCGCAGTAATTTGGTATAACCTGACATTTTCTCTGAACACCGACGTTTACGGGGCCTGGCAGAACTCCACGTCCTCGCCAAGTGTACTCACTTATCCCAATAAAAGCATGTATGACGGCACGGCAGGCTACCACCGGCGTGCCACGGATTCTTTCAGTTTATGTCCATGTTAGGGGCTCAGCTAGCAGAAACAGCGGCAGAGGAGGTGGGGAGTTGGACTCCGATGATCAGGAGAGTACTAGCTAAGGATAAGAAGTTTTTATCATCTTCTTACTTTATCCCTAAGGTTTAACCTAATCCTGAACCTGATAGTCCCATGCCGACATCAACTCTCAGCATACGCGCCTAAAAATGGGTAGCCGAACCACATATAGGCCATACGTCAGCGGCGGATCTAGAAAATTTCACAGGGGGGGGGGGGGCAAAATGTCTAGGCAGGGTGGTACATACCTCTTCAGAAAAATATGTCAAAATCCCCTATACGTAAACAGAATCAAGAAATTATTGACAAAAACACTTAAAAATTATTTATTGTATCATTATCTCCTAAGAAAATAAAGGCTATAAGAGGCTTTTAGACAAACAAGCAATTAGTTTGTACAAGGTGGGCAGCTTAGGGGGCTCTACAGCAGGAGGAAAGCTCCCCCACAAGATATGTGCTAATTTTATTTATTTTTGTTGTTTTCCAGCAATTATGAATCATCATAAGAGTGCATGAAGCCAAATGAAATTTGTCATTCAGGGGGGAGGCAGTGAAAATTTTTTATGGAGTGACACAATACTTATTAACACCACCTGTGGCATTGCAGTGAAAAATCTAGACCCTGTACCAGCTGAAATGCATGAATCCATTCTCTTCCGCTTATCCTTGTTGGGGAGGGGGCTGAAGCCTATCCAAGCTGTCTCAGAGCGAGAGGCAGGGTACACTCTGGACAGGTCGCTAGTTTGCTGCAGGGCTAAGAAAGAGACAACCATTCACACTCATATTCACACCTATGGGCAATTTAGAGTTACCAATTAACCTATTCCCACTAACTGCATGTCTTTGGAATTTGTGAGGAAGCCGGAGTACCTGGAGAGAACCCACGCAAACACGGGAAGAACATGCAAACTCCACACAGAAAGACCCTGGCCTGATGGTGGAACTGAGACCAACAAAATGTCTGATCCACTGGGATTTCCCCCTACAGCCATTTACTGAGAATGGTCTGATAAAATGATATTCACCATGTGGCAGGTCTGTGTCAAAATACCTTGTTGGTGGCAGATTGGCCAGCCAGCTTCGAGCAAATAGTCACTCAAATAACCACTTGCTACAACAGAAGTATGCGGAAGAGCCTCTCTGAACACATTGGACCTTGAAGCAGATGTGCTACAGCAGCAGAAGACCACATTTCTGTCAGCTGAGAAGAGAAGACTGAAGCTGCAATACACACAATTTCACAGTGGAAGACTGGAAAAATGTTGTCTGCTCTTTTTGACTTTAAATGTTTTAAAAACAATAAAATTAAAATAAACAATGTAACAAATGATCAGAGATGCAGGATATTCAGTCTGTAGTTCTATTAACAGCTTGATACACTAAAAGAAAACATATGTTTCGTGTAGGTGCTTAAAACAAAACAACAGTAATAAATGTGACACTGGGAAGCCAAATCAAAATAATTTATTTTTGGTGACATTTCATACAGTTCTAAGATTGTGTCTCAAACACTTGGTTGATTCATGACTACATTTCCATTTGCCACCCCAACCCAAATTAACAGAAAATAACCCAAACATTTTTTTTTTTTTGGGGGGGGGGGGGGGGGAGCAAATCCTGTAGGTATTTTTGCAAGCCTGTCAACATCAACCATATGCTTCTAAAATGATTTCACATTACTCATGAGTAAGATTCTTTTTAAAAACAAAGTTAGTGCATTTCTTTAATTATACTAAATCACTAGCTGCTCATACTTATTAATGAAAAAAACAAAACAAAAAACAGCTCCAGTGATTGGATACTCGTTTACTGCATTACTAATCCCAAAGTCAACGCAACAAGTATTTTCTCTCAGCTGACATCTTAATCGGTACAGAAATGTCATATGTGATTTTTTTCATTTTTGCCAATGCGATTTCACACAACTTTGGGGAAACCAGCCTACCAAGATTGGGAGAAAAGCGCTGCATTAGAATTAAAATAAATAAATTTAAGAAAGCAATACATACAGTGAGTCAAACTTCAAATTCTAAGTTAACCTGTTTGTTTTCCAAAACTTAGAAGAAAAACAAAACAAAAGGAAAACAAAACAAAACAGCAAACTCACCCTAAAAGCACAAAACAATCTGGTGGATTGACTGGTCAAAAGCCTCCCTCCGTAAATTCAATACTAGAACAATTACATTCTCCCACACACGTTTCTAGTGAAGGGTTATTACAATATAGCATAGGTTACTACACCTCTACAGCTTTTTCAAAATCCAGTTTCACTGGGCCAAAGAGTTCCCCCAAAGATTACATTAGCAGACCTCATCAATAAAAATCTAAACTTTATCCTAGCACACTATAATCGCAGCCAGCTGGCACGTAGCACGTGAAAATATTCCAATTTCCTTTATATCCACAACTTGGCTGCCTGATAGTAAATAGCTATCATCATTAGCTAACAGCACTCAGTCTATTTTTTTTTGACATTATGCCATTGTTAAGAACAAATTCACAGATAAGCTTAACCTGGATATCCCGTGATGATGATGATGATGATGATGTAGAAAAGCCAAACCTTGCCTAAAACCACTGGGCGCACCAAGCAGTCAAATCTTAGCAAAAACCTATTTGTTTTTCCTCATGAAAACACACGATCCCCCCAAAAAACAAAACCCACAACAAAACATGTAAACAGAGAACCTGACTGATAATCAACATGACGATATTCTGAATTCATCGGAACAGTTAAACTCAAAACACGTAAAACTCAACGTGAAAAACTTTGGACCAGGCTAGCAGGTTCACCGTGGCTAACAGCCCAGTGAGCCCCCCCTACAGAGCATCCGGGCTTTGAAGAAAAATCACACATCTGACCGCGGTGCATGTCAACACCTTCTGATAATCTGACGGAGAGCGTTTAAGCCAATCATGAACCAGGATCAAAATACCACCATAGAACACAATTCATTGATATACATTAGAAGACCACATTGTCCCGTTTCAGGACGATTCAGAATCTCTGCTGTAAAAATCAAAATGTTCTCAATATCATTACATCAGTGCGACAGCACCCTGCAGCACTTCAGTCATTTAGCTTAACAATCGATGCATACACAGACATCAGTCAACCCTTCAGTCATACTTGCAAACCTAAGCACACAAGAGAAAAAACAAAACAAAAACTGATGTCTCATTGCGTGTTAGTGATATCTTTGTATATGTACATGACATATATGCATGTTCTTTTTTCTTAGTGCATATTGTTCTTGCAGACCAACATCTATTCTTTAATTAAAAAAAAAAAAAAAAAAAGAAAAAAAAAAAGGTAGAGGGCCATTTACGAGGCCCAGCATCCCACCTTTCCCTAGCGGAGCATGAACGAATCAACAACCTTCAGGTAAGTCACACTTAAATTCTTTTAAGCGTATTTCTGAAGGCCAAAACAACGTTTTTGTTTCTTTTCCAATCACTCGTCAAAGTTCTTCAGGTGTCATTTTGCCCATAAGTCCTGGATGTCAGTCTCATTGCCACTTTAAAAGCCTCTCTTTGGACATGTTCCAGGGGGGTGGGGAAGGTGGCTACCATAATTGTTGTTGCTTTTATGTTATTCATTTTTATATAATTATATATATCCATGTATATATTCATACATCTTTTTCTATTGATATCAAGTTTTTATTTTGGCGATACTGGTGGGATGTTCTGCTCTTTTCCAGTGTGCCTGTATCCTCCCTGCGGGGAGCTGCGTCGGGGTGGTGGAGGACGCCTATGGTCCCGGAACTTGAGGCCCCCGGTGCCCCTGGGACCATTGCTGCGGTGGTAGCCTTGAGAGTCACGTTCACGCGGTGGCCGGCTCTCCTTGCATTCCCATCCCCCCTCCCTGTCGTGGCTTCTCTCGTGCTTGTCTCCAGGACTGCTGCTGGAGCCCGGCTCCTCGGCCTTGTTCACGCGCAATTCACGTAGTGGCTGGCCCGACGCAGTGCTAGAGGTGGCCGGGGTGGCCGGGGCAGGGGATGCAGGGGGAGGGTCCTTGGGTGGCCTTTGACACACTTCGGCGTAGCTGAGTTTACGGGGCTCCTAAACAAAAACAGAAAAAACATTTTTAAGATGGGTAAAACATACACTCATTTACTGAGTTTTAGCACCCTTCCAGTCAAACCCTCAGATCTCATAATCTTGACGCTCATTGGGGTAGGAGTGAAAATTCTGGACTTTTGGTGAGACAAAAGCATGGGGGGTGGGGTTGGGGTGAAATGAGAGAGAGAGAGAAGAAAAAAAGAGTGACAGAGATGAGGGATAGAGCCAAAGCCAGTCAATTCACTACCTCACTTTCCCTCTATGCGCAAAAGATCTCATCATCAGGAAGACAACTGTGCTCATGTGGCGGCAGCAACAACAGGAAAGTCAGATTCTCACCTGTGCAGGGGTGGGAAGAGCGGCTGTCGCAGGGGCAGCCGTGCTGGGTGTGGCTGGTGTGGAAGCAGCAGAGGTCTGAGGCCTGGAGCTAGGCACAGGCTGTGTGGAGGCGGGGTTGCCGGGAGTTTTGACAGGTGTGCGTGGAGTTGGTTTTTGAGTCGTAGGTTCCACCCGTTCGACTCTCTTCTCCTGACGAACAGTACTATCAGGACAAGAGGTTCAGTTAGCAAAGCTAACATTTTAAGTTTTATTGTAAGAACAAAACATGCTCAAATTAAGAGCAGAGACAATCATACCCAGAGGCTGAAGGTCCAAGTGGTTGAGTAGCAGATTTTGCTGCTGCCGGGGCAGGACTTATGACAGCCACAGCTTCCTCTGTGACTTGACCTGAACCTGGACTCGCAGTGGCTTCTTTATTGGCTTGTTCTGCCTATAAAAAGCAAAGTGCATGAATGTTACACTTGTGCAGTCCTCATCTCAACAATGCTTTCTATGCATCATTGTTCAAGAGATTTACAAACTCATTTTCTTACCTTGTCCCTGTACAAACCACGTACTACATCCGACATCCGGTTTTCTAACACTGGCTCCCCCTGTGTGCTGACCACACAGCCCGGAAGAGGAGGGAAGTTGGTAGCAGCCAGGTCAAACTTGGGTGGTGAAACCTTGACCTCTGTTAAGGGTACAGGCCTCTGAGAAAAGGAATTAAAAACAGAGCCA